ACAATCAGGAGCATGGTAGACACTTGCTTATAATCCAAACGATGGTCCTGATCCATGACATAAAACTAATATTGGCAGCTACGTATCAACACTTTCTCTATGAGAAACATCTGTTCTAATGCATTGTATTAATGCATTTAATCCACACGGCAACCCTCTGAGGGAGCTAAAGTATGTCCCCAGTGTACAGGTCCAGAGTCTGTGTTCAGACTGCCTGTTCTCAGCCACCTTGCTGCATTGCCGAAAAGTGAAGAAACCCCCTCCACCTCCAACAAGTCGAATAAGATAAAACCATGGTGGTAATGGGGGAAAGTCACATAAATTGGACGCATTTGCTCTTCTTTCTGGATTGGGACTCTGCCCCACTTCCCATTAGCTGGGGACCTTCTTTACTTCAGCTTTGCATAAGCCATTCTAAACAAGCTTGAATGTGATGAATAACTTAGTTATCTGTTCCTATTGCTAAGTGTCTATGGTATTTGTGCTTGGCACCGAATTGTTCATTAATCCAAAGACTCCAGCCTTCTGCTGGTCGGGAGAGAGAGAGAGACAGGCTCACTGTCAGTTCAGACACTTGCCGTTTGGTGCATAAAGTGGTTCCAAGCTGGTTCTTCTCCCAAGAACTTACTGGAATGGGGAGAGGTAAATGCCAGGTTGTCTGTTCCCCATGACGGGAACTTGGTGCATCTCAGGATGGGCGTCCCAAAGCTGCTTTAGAACAAGAGGTTACTGGATGTTTGTTTTTTTTAAGGTGTGGTTTCAGGTACACAATAGTATTGCTGGGGATGATTACTGAGGAATTTCATGCTGACACTAAAACACAAAAATGCCACTCTTCAAATTCCATTTCCCACTTGTTCAGCAACATGTTCACTTGGCGAATCCAGAAATGTTGCAGGTAAGGCTCCTCAGAGTCAGGTGCGGGCAAGGCCAGGTAGTTACAGCGCTGGCACTGTTTCACGGAATCTCTAGGGTCATGGGGGTGTGGAGCTGGGAGCCCACCCCCTCCCCAGGGCAGTCAGGCCCTGATTCTGCAGCTTGAGGAGCTGAGAGTCCACAGGTAGCACAGGACCCCCAGGGGCCACAGAGCTAGAGTTAGAGCCACCCCACATCCCACATTTGTCTCTTTCGCCATACCTATGGAGAACGTCTACAACATCTCCATCTCAACGCTGACAATTAAGCAATTCAAAATGCTATCGCTTTCGTACATGGCTTTGTAGGCAAAAGGATTTGCAAGCATGTAGATCAGATAGTAGCTGTGCTCTGGAGCCTCAGAGGAGAGGCTCAAGAGGAAAGTAAGGGGGGGGACTTACAAATGTGGCTGCTCCAGGAGCTTACTGAGAAACTCAAGGTCAAGGAGAGGTGTGAAAAGGTGGAAGGGGGGCTTCAACCCAAATACCAGGGAAATGTGACCCCAGAAACGGTTAGCAGGTTGCCAGGAGGGCTCTAGCCCACAGGGAGGAACGCAAAGCGGGTGCTTGCTTCTGTTCAGAGCAAGAGGATGAGTACATGGGTGGAGTAGGTTCACTGAGGCAGAGAGAAGATGGAACGTTTCCGTGCCTGGGAAGGAGCTCATCAGAGGTGGCATGACAACCGAGTGTCACCCAGACCTGCCACCAAGCCAGCTGGGTGCCCCGGCCCATGCTTGTCTTCTATAATGTAAGTTGGGATAAGTGTGAGTTGGCTAACTTCCGAAAAAGAAGGGACAGAGTAAGCATCTTCAAATGGGAATTGAAGACCCGGAGAGGATGTAGCTGTTTGGAGGCCTTTGGCTTCCTTCACGTGGACTGTTTTATATTTAACTCAGTCCGTGCATACATCTGTACATCCCCTATGGCTGGTGACCTCGGTTCTTCTCTCTAACTGCTTAGCTCCTGCCATGATGGAGGGTTCATAGGATTATTTAACTGAGACAGAAAATAAAGTAGGAAATACCCACTGGGGAGGGAACAGGCAGGAGGTTGCTAAGAGTTTTTGGTAAAATAATAGCTAGCTAGCTTGATTGATTGATTGATTTGATTTGTGCTTATAGCTGTCTATCCTGGGACCATCTGGAAGGAAGGGAGCAGTGATAATTAAAGATGATAGTGATACCTGGTGGCCAAAATGTTCTTCCACCCAGGCTTACACCCAGGGGTGTACACACTTGGCCCTCTGCCCACAAAGGGAGCCCACCCATCTACGAAGGGTCACTTTTACTAGCCACTTTGGTGGAATATATACTAAAAAATAGTATCACCAAGCACCTTGGAAAGTCCCAATTAACTGGATAAAGCACAAGACACTTTCTGAACAGAAACCATGAAACTGGACCACTCTGTTAGCATTCTTTGAGGAGGCAGAAACAGGCCTGGAGATGAGGGAGAAACCCAAGGATGAATTATGTTTAGACTTCCAAAATTCCTCTTGACAAAATTCCACCCCCAGGGTCACTTACCATAGTAAGTCGTTTCAGAGTGTGGGGGAAATCGCCACAGATCGGAATTGGTTTTAGAGACAGGACACACACAAAAAATAGGATAAACAGGTACTTTTCTGGATGAAGAATTATAAACAGTGGGGATCCCCCCAAGGATCGCGGGTGCTCCCAGACTTCGTTTAAATGTTCACATTTCATCCAAAGGAGAGAATGCTCGGATGGTTCCAGGCCTGCAGATGACATGGGGGCTCTGCAGAGATGGCAAACAAATGGTGATGAACTGCAGGACAAGGTAGCAAGAGAATGCATATTAAGCTTTTGCAAAGGCAAGCCTCGGTTAATGCATTTAGGAGAACATAATCCAAATTGCAAGAGAATGGACTCTGCCCAGTCTGGTTACAGTCATAAAACAGGGATGTTGTGTGTGTGTGGGGGGGCTTTTCAAAATGTTTGTTTGCTAAAGTCCAGACAGGACCAAGTGTTCAGAAAAATGCAAGAGAAGGTCTCTACCCTGAGGCCCAGGCAACCACCTAGGGGAGAACTATAAGTGGCCAGGCTATAATGGGAGTTGTTTGTCTGAGGTCAGCTACGTTTTGAGTTACATGAGTTTCTATGGCGAACAAAGTACCGAGCTCCAAATCGCAACATTTCCAGAATGTCTTATTCTTGCAAAGAGTTGGGGAGCTGTCAACAAGCTGGTTGATTTGGCCAGTGTCGTCTGATTCCTCCAGGTTAACACAACCCCTTATTGCTCTGTTTGGGCCTGGATTCCTCTTGATAGTCTAAACTGTGTAAAGGCCAAATGTCTACTTTCGTGATGTCCAAATTCAGCCTCCCAAATTTCTCCTTGTGAGAAAAAAAAAAAAAAAGCCCTTGGCCTCTCTTTCCCAAATTATTTTGCTTCTGCCATAAGAACTGGATCTTCTGCCAATCCCCTGGCAAAAACGCTGGGGGCTCCGGTGGCCCAGTGCCCCTCCCAAATAGTATTACCAACCTGCCCCCTTACAGAGGAAGGCACTGAGGTGCAGAAGCCAGAAGTCCTGCTGTCAGATGTCCACTCTTGGGCCAGGACAGCGCTGGAAAGGGCTGCTTTCATGTCTTCTGAAGATGTACAGCCTCTCTGCTGTGTTCCCGGACCTGGAGATGCTGCCAGCCGTGGTGCTGGTGACTTTACTGGTGGGAATGCTAACGGGTCCCTTCTGTCTCATTAGTGGGAAGCTTTAGACTCACTTGTGAAAGGCAGAATCCAGCAAATGGTGTTAATTAGTGGACCTCGAAGATGCCTCTGTGCAGTCTGGCTGTGTGCCTGCCTCGGTATGCCAGGGCTGTCCTGGGGTTCTGCAGAAGACATTGTTGGGTCTGGCCCAAGGACGGGCCAAGCTTGAGAGGATGGAGACCTGGATTTTGAGCTGGTGGGCTTTCACTGGACAAACTCATCGCATTTTGCGAGCCAAATGAACACAGGTTTAGAGGAATGATCATTAGACAGAGCCTGTTGGACTGAGACCTAAATATTTGACGGTAATACAGTGGTACCCCAACTGTGACGGCAGGTGAGCAGTTGCCATCCTGGCCTTTAGTCCAAAAGAAGAACAGCTTCCTTTGCCCACGTGGCACAGCTGGCTGAGGCCCTAGTCCCTTTTCTTAACTATTTTGTAGAAGCCAGGTTCAGACGTATTCCTGCTTGGGATTGTGTCTTCACATACGTAGGGCTTTCTCCCCTTGTCCCAAGCTTACTCCTGCAAAGTGAGCCTCCCCTCCTGGCAGGCAGGGGGCCCGGCAGCCTGTGTGGCCTTCAGCAAGTCAGCAGCACTGCGATAGTGCTTAAGGGAAACATAGAAATTGGATAAAACTCAGATTTTTTTTTTTCCCAAAGAACCAGATGAGTAGGCTTGGACATGAGGTGAGTGGGCCAAGGGAAGAATTGGATTGACTAAAAACACTCGCTCTGGCGCATTTGTGTTCCATCCAAAAGATGTTTCTGGGGGGGAGCTGCCAGTCTCTGAAATATCCCAAGAGGGGCGGCAGAAGAGCCGCAGGGCCTAGCGAACCTTGAGGAGGTGACAGTTTTCATCCTGGAAAAAATAAGCGACCGACTGAAGGAAGGGAAGTGACCACTCTGATGCCCTCCCAAGAGCAGCCTTGGGGGCCGGCGGGCCCTGCGCACAGCGGGGAACGCTGTATCCACACCTCCTCCGGGGTGGCAGCCATCCTTCTGCGGCAGCCCACAGGCTCGCAGGCCCCCAGCTCGGGAGCGCAGCCAGGGAGAGTCCTCGGAAGCGGCGCGGTGCTTGGAGGGGATGCTGGAGGCAGCCGAGCCCAGGCGGGGTGGGTGGCCTGGGGCCAGGGCGGGCGGGCCTCGAGGTGCGCAAGGGGCTGAGGTCCAGCTGGCCATCCCCGCCCCTCGCCCCCCAACCCCGGACCACTAGGAAGAGGATTTTCAGCTTCCTGCACCGGGGGACACATCTGAGTGAGAGAAATGAGCCACGGGGGTGTGGTGGCGGATTCGGGACGGCAATGTAGTTAGTTGGAAAGGGGACTTGGGGTTTGTCTCCAAGCACAGTCTCTACTTGGATTGAATATTCATGGGGAAGATTGGGAGGCGCGTTGCAGCTCTTGCGCTCTGCAGGGCTGGCCCGCCCGGGGTGCTCGGCCCTTTCTGCGTGGGGAGCCGCGCCGCGCCCTGCGTCCCGGGGTTCCCGAGGTCCCGGCGGCCCGCGCCTCGGCCGAGCCGCCTGGGTCCCCGCCCAGCTCCCCCCGACACCCCCGCCCCCGTGCGGGCGGTGCTGAAACCCGAGCGCGAGGGGGCGGGCGGCGCGGCGGCGGGGGTGGCAGGGCCGCGCGGACATTGGAGGGGACCCGGTGATGGATGGTGAGGGCGGGGCGCGCGGGGAGGGGGCGCGCCGGCCGCCTGCGGCCGAGGGGGACCGAGCCGCCCGGCTCGCTGCTCCCGCCGGCGGAGCGAGGCTGCCTTTTCTCCGCAGCGTGATTGATTTTCTGCTTCTTTTCTCCTAAACTCTTCTTCCAGGGAGAGGCTAGTGGTAACAGGCCGAGCTGGATGGATGGGTATGGGGAGAGGGGCAGGACGATCAGCCCTGGGATTCTGGCCGACCCTTGCCTTCCTCCTCTGCAGCTTCCCCGCAGGTAAGGCACCGACCGGGGCGCGGGGACACCCGGCCACTCGGGCTTCCTTGCAGTCCTGAGCCACATCGGGGAGGGAGTCAGAGCCGAAGTTCGCCAGTGACTCCCCTGGGGATCCCGCCTCCCGTTTCCACGGGTCTTTGTTTCTCCCGCGCCCCGCAGAAGGCGCGATGGATGCCCGTGGGGACTCAGGGGGGACCATGCTCCGGCTGCATTGAAAAGGAGCCGGACGGGGAGGTCGCAGGGGCCGGGGTCGCATCCCTCCTTCCCAGAAAGAGGGGACCCGGGACGCGCCCCTTAGGGGACCCGGAGGAGGGGGGGGGCAGCGGAGGCATGGACTCGGAGCGGGGGGCACTTTCCCCGGCTCCTCACCCACCAGTTTGCAAACCTGCCCGGTGCCCAGGGGTGAAGCCGGGGGCGCCCCCGAGGTCCCAGCCAAGTCACCCACGCCCCTCCTGTGGGGCCCTGTCTTGACTCCACGCGGGGAGCCCACGGACTCGGCTCGAACCAGCCCGTATTCCTGTTTGATAACATCCCGTGTCGCCCCCTGTTTGTTTTTATTGTGTCAGAAAGGGAGAGAATTTCAGAATTAAAGCTGAAAAAGCCCATCTGTTTCCAATGAATCCCCCATAGTTTTCACAATGTTTTTGGCAGATTGCTGCTTTCAAATTCCTCCGAGCCTGGACCTCTTGTTTTTGTTGGGGGAAGGGAGACCAACTCCACAGAGAAGCATTTGTTCCTTCCCAAACGCTCCAGTTTCTTGACTTTTTTTTTTTTTTTCCTTTCAGGGGGAGGGGTAAGGCACGAAACTTAAATCCCCGCTCTGTTTTCCTTATAATGTTTCATAAAACTTTATTTCATTTTTGCCATATGCTACTCACAGCCGGGCAACGCCAGCTAAACCCTTTATGCCCATTTTTCTCTTGCTAAAAATACAAATAAACCTAGTGTCACGAGCCAAAGGGTCCCCATTTCAGGGCGGGATCTCGGGGCCGTTGCCATTGTGTTATGGGGCTCGGAGGTGTCTTCTTGCAAAAATGCGAGCTTGTTTCCCTCCGCGGCCCGACGCGGATGCGCAACCCCCGCGCACCCCCGAGTTTTGCAAGAAAGAACTTGAGTGAGACTGGGATTGGGTTGTTTTGTTTTGCTCCTCAGCCAACTGGGTTTCAGAAACTGGCTGAACTGGGCCGTCCAGGTTGCAAGTTGGGACTCCCGGCTGGCAGACCATGTAGGCAGCGGGGTGGGGGCCAGGGATCAGTTTACCTTCTCGCCCCAGCCCAGCTCCGGGACCCCAGGCGCCCACTGGGTCCTGCGCGCCCAGTTCACTCAGCAGCTGCGCCCCCAAGGGCGCCCTGCAGAGCCTCAACCTGCTCCTAGCCTTGAATTCCACTCGGAGCCCCCCACCACCACCACCCTCCCCCCCCCTCGCCCCAAGGACAAGATGGGGGGGGTGTATCAGTACTCCAAGAAGCCCCAAGAAGCCCTTGCATCCCTTTTACCCTCTCCCCAGAATATTCAAACCGCCACAGTGTTTCAAGCAGCAGGGTGTACCACCGACTCCCCCCCCACCACTACCGCTTTTTTTTTTTTAAAGGGCAGTTTTCCCACCTACAGAAGTGTCCTGCTGAAGGCTGATTTGATTGCCTTCCAAGAACTAAAAAAAAAACAACAACATACAATCAAAAAGGACCCTCCTCTTTAAAAAGAAATCCCCTTTTTGGAGAAGCAGGAGTTTGCAGAGTGTGTGCATCTCGGTTTGGCCTAGATAAAGATCCAGCCCATTGGAAGTTTTATCAGATGGGTTGATAAATGGCTTTTGTCCCCTGGCTGCTGTGGGGGATGTGATCTCAGCTCGAAGCTGAAATTGAGAAGGGGGGCTTAGAGGCCCTTAAAACAACACCTTCCCGCTCTTAAAGTGGCAGCACTTGTTAACTTCTTGGGCTAGACGAGGAGGAAAGGAAGAGCTGACAGAGGTAGCTGGAGACCAGGGGGAGCTGCGGGGGCTGCTGCTGATGGTTTTGTCAGTGTTTTCTCTCATTTCTCCATCTTTGAAACTTTCTTGTAAAATATCTAGTCTGAGGAAAGCTGGTCGGTTATGTAATTCACAACCCAAATTCCATCACTTTTGTTTCCAAGAAGCCCATTTCTTTTTGGCTTCAAGGCTAGTAACCAAAGCCTGGCAGATAGAACAGATAGCTGCCCCACTGTCATGCCAACTGGCTAATGTTTCTTCTCGTGTAAGGCCCTGACAGCTGCAGTTAGTCAGAACTGCCCACCTTACTGAAAACTGAGCTTTCCATCCCAAACTCAGTACACTGGGGGCTCCAAAAGCTGGTGTGCTCCAGAAACCCGTGTCAAAAGACAGTGTCTTAAGGATGAGATGAAACGAGTGGTTTCCACAACAAAGACATGGACTGTCATCTTCTTGGATGTGTTGGCATAGGGGCTGCCTGGGAGTCAAGTTAGAGTATCTGCGGGTCTGGGGGACAGCAGGGTGGGTGTCAGAGAAGAAAAACAGCTCTAACAAGTGCGTGGCATGGGGACACTCAGGGACCCTGTGTGCCGTGGCCTCTCCCCGTGAAGACAGGTGGACCGAGGCTCGAGTAGCTGTCTGAAAGCAGGGGTTTGTTCAGTGCTAGTCAACTTGAATGGCTGCCAGCAGTAAACCCAGAGGAGTGCAAATTAAATTGGACATGGTTATGTGGAGAAAGATGCCTTAACTTCTGCTAGACTGAGAGGGTTTGTGTCTTTTGAGAGTGTTTACATGTACCCACTCAACGTGTATGGCACACCTACTGTGTTCTTGAGTCAGTAACAGGGACATTTGGGGCCCTCATTTGAGCAAGGTCAGCGTCTGCCTTCAGGTCAAGGGACAGGGGCACTACAATGTCCTGTGGGCTGTAAGGGGGTCTGCTTGAAGTGGATGGACAGAGTGGCCATGTCCAGCTGGGGGTGTGGGGGGGAGGGGGCAGAAAAGGCTTCTTAGAACAGTCTTCCACAAATAGCATCCTCTTCACAACATAATTAATAGATACTTTTTAAACTTCGAAACCATTGGGACTTCATAAAACTGTTTCTAAGCCAAACCCATCCAAGGCATATGTTGCCGACATGTTGGCGCGTTTCCTATAACTACATATGGATGCTACTACATTCCAGCGTGGTGGTTCTCAAAGTGTGGTCCCTGGTCCAACCCCATCTGCGTCCCTTGGGAACTTGTTAGAAACACAAGTTCTGGGCCCACCCCAGACCTGCTGAAGCAGATACTTGGAGGGGTCGGGGGAGGATGAAGGGGGCACTGCAGTCTGTACTTTGACAGGTCTTCCAGGGGGTTCTGGTACCCTCCCAAGTCTGAGGACCACTGTTCTAAGAATTGCTGTTCCGCAGCCTTTATTTTTTGTTCCTTTCTTTCCCTCTACGTTTAAACTTCAGCCGTGTTAGACATGTTAGTCCTCAGTGGAAAAACTAAAGCTTGGGGCGACGAAGGCCCTCTGCGAGTGTGCAAGTGTGTCTGTGCCATTATAGAGATGAAGTGCTTCTCTCAGAGCTGCTCTTCAGAAACGTGCAAGCAAGGCAACCTGCCCACGTTTTTGTCCTCCTGTAGGACTTTGTGTCCCAAAGGGAGAGAATTGACATGATGTCCAGGTGCAAGAGCCAGATGGCTGTGCAGGGCCAGCTAGCAAGCTGGTGGATGACACACCAAGGGGTCTGCAGGACAGAACCTTGCCTCCCAGAGAGGGCAGGATATAAAATCCTGCAGAGAGTCTGCCCCTTAGGCCCTGAGGGTGAACAGGGGAGTAGGGAGAGCATGTCTGTCTGGTCTCCGGGAAAACCTCTCTGCAAGGTTAGAGAAATTGCTAGCTGTCTGTCACTCCAAAGCTCAAAGGAGAACTGGGGAGACAGGATCCATGGGCTCAGATAAGGATGTTCCATGAGACAGGAAAGAGGGGGGTCCCAGGACCCCATGGAGGTGAGAGGGTGGGATGGGACCAGTTCACATGTTGGGGGGCATGTGGTTCCTACTACAAGTCCTCTGTCCAGTGAAACGTGCAAGGCCCCCGACAGAACTGGGCAGAGAACCCCGACTTGATGTTTTGGTTGAATGCTTAGGTGCCATGTTGTTTTTATTGCTTGGCTGAATTCTACCTGCCTGACATCGAAGGCCCTGTTCTTCTCAGGTGACCAGCTCATCTGAATTTACCCAGGACTTTCCTGGTTTTAAAACTGAAAGTCCCAGGTCCTTAGAAGCTCTCTCAGCCCTGGGCACATGAGGATGATTAGTCACCTTAGCATCTCCCCCACCTGTCCCCTGGGCTAGTGCCTGGTCTCTGTGTCTGTTGAGGGACCCCACTACCTGGAACAGGGAAGGCCTGGGTGTGAAGTGGGTCACTCCATTCAGCTCCGTCACCTGGACCTGAGTGCCTCCCCTTGCCCTTCCCTGCCTGTTGCCATTGTCACCTTGCTACAAGCAGCTTCCCAGCCCTAGGGCCTTCCTTCCTGCAACCCCACCCACCAAGTTGCCAAATGAATTGCAGTCTTTCTTCCACAATAATGTTTTCTGGTTCTAAAAACAATACTCATTTGTAAACCTAAAGGCTGAAAATGATAAGTAAGACTATGACAATAACCCCAATTCCACCTTCCCACAGACAACCATCACAAATGAACGTGCATGAATGTCCTTCGACACAATGCCTTTATATTGTTCTCTCCAAAGTACGGTCATCAGAAGGAGAACAATAATTCGTCAAGCTCTTCCGTTGATTGAGTGGCCACAGTATACCAGGCGCTCTGCTAAATGCTTTAAATACGTCACCTCATCAGACGGTCCCACCTTCCCCGTGAGAATCACCGTTCCCACTATTCAGATGAAGAAACAGAGGGTCAGAGAGGTTGCCTGACCTGACACAGCTAGTTAACAGCAGAGCCAGGAGGAAAAAGAACCCAGACCCCTGCCCTTTTCCATATACCTGACTTTGGATAAACGTTCATTAAATTTGCTA